ATACCCCGAAATATTGGTCCTGGACACACTGGTCGCAATTATCACCCGATCCTCACGAAATTTTGCATTAGGTCCAGAATAGAATAGAATTAGGGATAGAAAGTTTACTTTTAATAAATGTTTCCATAAATGTTAAGGGAAATTTCTATCCTCTTAAAATTATCGAGGTCCGATAAATTTCGACCACAAATTTACATACCACAAATTTTACATAGAAAATAACATAGATATATATAACGTTAACAGATCTACATAAAAGTTGAGTTTTTCCTAAATGAATTGATTTTTAATTACTTTTCATATAAAAAGGCTAACAAAATGCATTATATAATCATACTTATTTAATGTTCCAAATTTTGTAAGGCTACATACACCCGTTAACTCGCACAATAATACTATGTGGCAGTACAAGTTTACACCAAACTGTGCCTTCCAGGACAATTTTGCCAGTACATTTGAGGTATATGGTCATTTCTGGAGATATCCTTGGATCAGTATAATTCCATGGGCACATCGGAATTGGGCGGAACTTCGTATACTCTCATATTGCCAATGGATCGTATGTTTCATAAGCTATCGGAGTATACGATTTAGATTAGCAGGTGGTTTAGAAAATAATTGCCATAATCAACGAAAGGTATTAAAGTACTTATAACGACATTTTATCCGTTCACCTTACATATATGCATCAATTTCTTCACAATTTCAAATTTCAACTGCATTGTACGTTTCGAAAGCCAATTAGCAATGCTTTAGTGTCCTAGTACTAAAGTTTAAGTACTGCTCCGTTCTTCTAGACTTTTTCCATTGCGCCAGACACACGAGTATTTCACCTCTGCACTCTAACGGAAACCTACACACCTCAACAGAATTATAACTCTGCTACCACACACCAACCAAGACATTTATTTACATATTCCTTTATCATTCGTTTAATACGATGACACAGTACTTAGCCAATATTAGCACACGTTTAAATCATAATCCTAATTTCGCCCGCCTTTCAGTAAGTGGGTACTAAAAAGTTTAGACACGGACAAGTTTCTATAAATATACTGGATGTACAACTTTCTATATGCCTACCTCTTTTTAGATCCGGAATCAAATTTTACCTTTCAGTATTCATTCTACAACACCACATGCAATTTATATAAACGTCTACCATTGTATAAATCAAAGCAGTGGATGTGTGTGTGCATGTGTAAATAGTTGCTCTTATTCATGACTTTGTAACATGTTACACAACTATTAATCATAGTCTCGTATCGTTAATTAGCAATTAATAACAATTTTAAAACTGTAAAATTTATAGTCTGTCATTATGTAATAGCATTTTTCGTATGTGTAAAGCATGCTGTATACACACTTACACAAATTTGTGCATATATGAATCTTACGCCGTATGTGCGTGTGTATTATTGTACATACCCAGTAAACAATTTTTTCCGACTGCTCTGATTTAAGATTTTTTCCGAAATTTCTGGCTTTGTTTCAGAATTTTCTGCTAGAAATTGGTCCGATTTTCTAAACGTTTTTTTAAGAATTTCTGCACATTTTCCTGCGTTTTTAAGAGAAAAAAACTCGAAAAATATCCAAAGGGAGAGTAGATTGTCTATTGCTCTGGCTTGTTCTCTCCCACATGAAAACGAATGGTGGTGTTTTGCTACATTCTCTCCCATAGTAGTTGTTGTTTTTTCAGACTTTTCTTCCAAATTCTGACCGTTTCTTTCAGAAAATCGGAATTTTCTCCCGAATTCTGAGCGATTTTTTTTTTTCATTTTCTTTGGAATTCTTGCCAATTTTTTTTATAAAAAATATGAATATTCCGCCGAATTTCCTTCCGAATTCTGACCGATTTTTCCGAAAATCTAATTTTTTCTCCTATTTTTCCAAGAATTTTTTACTGAATCCGGACCGAATTCGTCCAGAAAATCTAATATTTTTTTCCGATTTTTTTTCAGAAAATCTTTCCTTAACGAATTCGGACAGAATTCGGCAAAAATTGTTTACTGGGTATTTAGAATTATGTACCAAGACAAAACACACACACATAAACTTACAGAGTTACACAACGAACAGCATATACATTGTATGTTTAGCAAATTTCGTCTTTTCTTATGAGGAATGCCATTCCATAACTTAAAAATATTTTACACAACGGTTAAAATGTGTGCCAACACATTGCTCTTATTTAAGCTTTCCCATATCAGTTACACATAAATTGGTTTTAAAATGTCGTCGTACACGGTGAGAAATTTTGAGATTTGTCTTGGGGAAGGGTGGAAATGGAAAACTATTAAACTCACTGGCAATGACTGAAAATAAAATTTTGAAAAAAATCGAAAATTTCTACAAACAAATGGTCCTATATAAATACAAGTGGAATTAATAAAACATAAAAATTGTTGAAAGTTTAAAAATTTCGTTTAATTTGATCTAGATTATAGAATATTTTTCCCTTAAACACTTTCGACAAAAATCAACGAATTATGGGAAATTTTGACGTAATTTTAAAACACGTCTGTCCATGTTGATTTGTAATCACTCTACAGGTCGGAATTATGACCGATCTTCCCGAAACGTAGAATGGAGGTGGTGGTAGGGCTTTTGGGGATGATCGCATAGTAGTTAGGGGTTCAAATGCACCAAAAACTGAAAAAAAATCGTGATTTTGCAGTTGCTCGACAAGTCGCAATTATAGACCAATCGACGCGAAAATTAGTATCAATCAACAACTATTCTCAACACGGCGCAGTACGCATCACATGGGTACCAGGTCATACGGGAGTTAGGGGTAATGAGATAGCAAACTCTCTCGCCAAAACAGGCAGGGAATTAAAAACAATAAACGTAGACAATCCAGTGCCGCTTAATGCGACACGTCTAGTGTTAAAGACATGAGCAACAAACGCCCACATATCCCAATGGAACAATGAGGGTGTAGGGAAAACCAAAAAAAATCTTATGGGGTGATCCCGATGAGATAAAAACGAAAAAAATTTTATTACTAGGTAAAAAAGAGATTAGTGAGGTAACAGGCATCCTTACGGGGCACCCGGGCCTACAAGCTCATCTGTACGATGTGCAGAAAACAGCATATGCAGGGCAGAAAACAGAATAGGATGCGCAGAAAACAGCATATGCAGGGCATGGGGGGAAGATGACGAAACATTGAAGATTTTTTCTACCAATGCCCAGCGTTTGCAAATTTCAGATTCCAATTCTTAGGGAACGACTCCATACCAGACTTTAATTAGACCATGGTAAATGATATAAGACAGTTAAGAAATTTCATAAAGGCAACTGAATTTCAAATATAACAGACCGTAAACTGCCCGCCTTCTTCAAAAAAAAAAAAAAAAAAAAAAAACCCTTAGTCTAGAGCGCACAACAGGCCTATACTGGCTTAAATGTATGCCCAACAGGGCATGCGGCGAATTGCTTCATCCCTCTTTTCAACCTAACCTAGTATGGGGCTTAGGGCTGGGTCATCGGGTGGGTGAAATAGACCATAACATTTGTGTTAAATAAAAGACGAAATTTCCATGAAACCGCAATTTTTTTAATCCCGGCGAAATCACAAATCGACGAACAGGTCAATTCTGACCGTTACGTAGTTGCCGATAGTAAATATATCGGATATATATAGCAAAATATGTACAATGCATATATACATAGAAAGGGGATGTTAGCTAGAATGCTCATATTTGAAGAATGGCTGGACCGATTTTGACAATTTTTTCAATACAGAATGCCATAAAATCTTGGCATAAAAGTGTAAAATCGAAAAAAAATCGCATGAAAAGATGCCAATAATGATGTTAATATAGATTTGTTGTATTTTGTGACATTTTTTTTATTTTTTCATATTTTTAATCGCAGGCGATTTTTTCAATTTGACTTATAATATTGAATTGAATATTTTGTAATAATTTTTCACCTTACAACACAGGTTGGGGTTATAATATATATATTGCAATTATCGTCCGATCCTCACGAAAATTTTCATAAGGGTAGGGTTAGGCCATGGTAAAATTAAGAAGGTAAAGTCATTTCAAATAAGCATTCCCATCTTTGTATTTTCTGTAATTTACCTTGTCAAATTTCACTGTAAAAAAAACAGGTTCCCATCTCTGATTTGTGTATGTACAATGAATTTATAAACAAACATTTTTACAATGAGATGTTGTCAAATGAATAATTTTGAAAAAATTGTAAACATATAATTGCACGACTTTATCTTCTTAATTCTACCATGGGTTAGGCTCAGAAGGGCTAGGCTTATTGTTATCAAAGATGACCGCAATATATTTAGAGGTTGAAATGGACCTGTTTTTCCAGCCGTTATAAAGATCACAAATAGAAACTAAAGGACACGAAATCTAGCATGAAGTTTGAGTTTAGGACAGCGGGTAGAATGGACCGCTACTTTGGTGTGAAAAAAGACAAGCATTACTTACAGGCGATATCCGAAATACACAAAAAGCGAACCAAATATCGTAGACAAGCAAATCATGTAGATGAGTCTAAATTTGGAGATACAGAGGGGTCTCTTGGTTTTGGAGAAGATCGCCAGATCTTCTAAAATTGATTTGGACATAAGGGGGCTTCTAACATATTGTAGCGTTGTAGTCATATTGTAGCGTTGTAGTTGCAAACATCTTTCTTAAGATTATTTCTAACTACTACAGCAACTATTACAGCATCGCGTAACTCTTGGATTTCAATCTTCGCCTTTCTTGAAAAATATTTCTAAGTGTGTAGGAGGACTTGGGAAACATTGGGGATTAAAATAATTTTAGAAACTTTTATCAACTCATCTTTTAAATATTTTTAGCAAGGAACGCCTTTTGAAGGATTGAAACAATGCAAGATTTCTTTCGATGCAATACAGCGTGAAAATTGAATATTTTCTCTAATGTGTTCTCGTATGATATTTCTCTGAACCATTTTTTTTAGCTTCAATGCGGATTTTTTTTTGTTTAGCTGTTGTTACTTACCGGTATATTGTTTATCGTAAATCTTAATTCAGCTCTTGGCCGAGATGGTGGCGTACTACAGTTAGCACGCAATACATCACCCGGCTCATATCGTGTATGGTCCGTAAATAGCTGGGGTCGTTTATCAGGAAATTCTGCAAGAAGAAAAAAAGCAACACAAGAAGGCCAGAGTAAAAATAACAATAATAACCATAAATAAATGAATACATTTTTTATTTGTTGAAATTAAAGAAAAAGAATTATGATTTCCTTTTGCCGTTCTGTTTGGTTCGGCTTTATCGTAAATACAATGGTGCAGAAGAAAAATCTTAAACCGGCGACCCAAGGAATTTGGCATAAAGTCAGGAACTAAGGTTATGTTTTTTGTTGTTCTCCATTCGGCGAGTTGGGAGTTTGTCGTTGATTTTTTTTATAACCGACAACTGTGGCAATTTGATAACATAAAACATTGTTGCTTTGTTAAATGGTCTAAATGAATGAATGCCTTTGAAAGCATGTCGTTAAATCGCAGCTTTTTTAACCCAATTAAATTTATTGTTTGCAAAAAATCCCAAAAGTTTGGTCAGTTAATGGGTCATTGCATTTAGATAAGAGCAGCGTATATGGAGTAAATGATTAGCAATTATCCAATGAACCATAAATATTAACTTGGCAGAAAAAAAAAACCTTCAAAAACACTTGGGGTAATGGGTGCGTATGAGAACGATTGTTAAGTATACGTACCCTTTACGTGATTGGTTTTACGAATGGTAATGGAAGTACAAAAAGGGACGGACGAAAGGAAATGAATGTAATGGAATTACAGGAAGGTGAAAGTAATAGGTAAAACCTTATTTTCAGACATTTTTAACTCATTTAGCTTATTCGAAATCCATCACATGAGAGATGGGTCTCAGGTGTAATATTACCTAAAATGTAGAAAATATTCTCTATCCAGCTTTTAATTTTACATAAAAAAGTAAAGCGATGACTGATTGACCAATTCATCAACTAGTAGATGGAACGGTTAAAGCTAGAAAACAATCACTTTGAATTAATAAAACAGCATTTTTGGAAATCGAAAGTACCCCATCTTATGGAAGACTTATGCTTATATCTCTCGCCGAGCTGAGTCGATCTAGCTATGTATGTCCGTCCGTCCGTCTGTCCATGTTAATTTGTAATCACTCTACAAGTCGCAATTATGGCCCGATCCTTACGAAATTTTGCACGAAGGTGGGGTTAGGGTCAGAATAGAAGCCTATTTCTTTTGGAAATGATCGCCAAATGTTTAGGGTTTGAAATGGACCAAATACTGAAAAAATGTCGGATTTTGCAGTAGATATACAGGTCGTGGATTTTCGCATGTAGCTAGAGTTTAGGGCGGGGAAGAAGCCTACCAGTTTGGGTGGTCATCGGATAATATTTAGCGGGTAAAATAGACCATATCTTTTGTGTTGAAAAAATTCAAAATTTTTCATTAAACCGCGAATATTTTAAAACCCGGTGAAATCACAAAGCCATGACAAGGTTAATTCTGATCTTTACATTGATGTTAACATCCAACAAAACGGATATATAGCAAAATATGTGCGATATATATGTTTATCAAAGAAGATATGCTTGAAAAATCTATTATATGTCGAGAACAGCTGAACTGATTTCGACAGTTCTCATTAATACAGAATGGCCTCTTAGCAGGAAAGAAAAAACGTCTAAAAAAATCGCATAAAAATATATCTCTAAAGATGAAAATATTGATTTTGTAACATTGTCTCATATTTTTTCGATTTTGTCATATTTTTGGCATATTTTCATTTTGAATTAAACATTTGGTAATATTTCTACAGCTAACAAAACTAAGTAGTTAGGATATCATATACAGATCGCATTTATGGCCCGATCCTTACGAAATTTTGCATGGAGAGGGTCAGAATAGAAGCCTACTCTTTTTGGAGATGATCGCCATATATTTAGGGGTTGAAATGGACCAAAAAACTGCAAAATTGTCAGCAGGTCGTAATTATCGCCCGACCCTCACGCACATGTGAATGGGGGTTACCGGACATTGCAAAAGCCAAGCAGTTTTGGATGGCCATCCAAAAATATTCAATGTGCGAAATAGTTTGCCAACTTTTGTAGACAAAATACGAAAATGTCCATTCCAGTGACTTTTTGGAGAATTCACAAATACAGGAAAGACGCACTTCTGACTATTTCTTTAACGCTGATTTCGTTGAAGAATATAGTCAAATATTTGTATCTCATATAGATGCGTTTCAGGTCAAAAACCAATAATAATGTTAATCTTTTGCCACTTCTGAGAGATTATAGGTCTTTGGGAAATATTGGTTCCAGATCTAGGAAGACCATTTATGTGCAACATCTACCAATAAATTGGAAATGAGCAAATTAGTTAAAGTTGCTGTTATTCGAAAATTAGAGAACGAAACCTGATGGTTTTCTTTTAATTTTTGTCACAATATCTTGTGGAATTCTTTCGAGTATCTCGCCTATATAAACTGCATCGTTTATTATAGTGTTGTAGGGTATTCAACGGTCGGCCCGCTCGACTGTAGCCTTTGCTTACTTGTTTTATGCTGATTTCGTTGACGAATATAGTTAAATATCGTAGACAAGCAAATCATATAGATGAGTCTAAATTTGGAGATACAGAGTGGCCTCTTGCAAAATATTTAATGGTTCAAATAAACCAAAAATCAAAAAAAAAAATCTGATCACACTATTGAAGCCAATCGACACGCCTGAAAAGACAGTTAGGAACAGAGAAGAATTCTACCATTTTGGATGAACATTGGATTTTATTTAGCTGTAAAATGGAACATAACAACTAACAGCATGACGGAGTGCGTAAATATTGGGCAAATGTCCCTGGTCAAAATGCTAGGGGTAATATCTGGGCAGTGCTCCGTATCATATGGTCGGTGCCGCATGACTATAGCCTTTGCTTACTTTTTTTTTTTTTTTTGTGTATTTATTGGGCGAAATTATCACTTTTTGCACCTGTCCTAGGACTGATAAAACATTTTGATTTACAATGTTTTGGGTGATCCTATCTTGTTTTCAATGAAAAATTTGACGTTTTGTGCGGATGGTACCAGAAGGAGTGAACCGATATTGTCCATTTCCGAACTCGATCTAAGTCTGATAATAATTTTACGATGTACCAAGTTTGGAGCAATACGTGTACATCCTTTTAGATTAATCGTGCGCACCAGCTAGGGGACAGACGGACGGACATCCCTAGTTCGCCTTCAAATACCCTGAAACGGATTTGGTTCGATGAACCACGTTTTTGGTCTTCTCAAATGATATATAGTCATATGTCTGGGGGTATAAAAATACACAAAAATGAGTATAATGTAATACAATATATTATTTAGTATTTGGAGTTTGTAGAGAGTTTTATTTGCTGTAGCATAATATTGTCTTTAGAGGTCCACATTTTTCCAAAGCCCTTATTTAGCAGTATCTCCAGATATTGGATTTCTTTAAAATTCCGTATGGTTTCTATCACCAGTATCAAATCATTGTTTCCATGTAACAGTACCATCCGATATTTAGAAAACTATAATAGTATTCCCCACCGATCTCAATTGTATTTTCATTTAAGTGGGGTTTATTGAATCCAGAAGGTGTATTAAAAATGTTTTCGTTACCTTACGGCTAGCCAGAACTTAAAGTTTTTTAGTCGCATTTTATTATTTCAAAGAAGATGGGACATTACATTGTTACTTTTCTTCAATAGATGGCGTTGGCAGTGTAAAATATGTTATGACACGATATCGTGACATAGCATTATGTTATAATTTAATAGAGCTGACGCTTTTTAAGGGTTTTTGTTGATTTTATCGATTCAATCTACAAGGAAATGCTCTGGAATAGATTTTTGAGAGCATGTCAATTATACCTGATATTTTTTTCCGCGTATTTCCGCCATTTTTCGGCGATATCGGACTAACATATTTTTCTAAAATTTCCAATGCATTTCTGTTATGTCGCCTGCCATCTATTACCTGATAGAAAAATTAAAGCCCATATGCATTTTGTCCTGTCTTTATAGTTTTATGTCTGATTCTTTTTTCCTTCGTTTTCCGGTTCCGTGTTTCAAAATCACAACCTGTAACGGATGCATGCATTCTGTGCCGACGATACTCATTACTTGGTTATTTGGAAAATAAGGAATAAGCCATTATTGGCAATGCAGAAAATAGTTAGTGTACCTTAATTTTCAAGCGGTTATTCGGTTGATATTACTCCCATGTTTAACTGGTGCCTTATTTACAGGTATATGTTAAGTTTTGGTTATAGTCTAGGCTTTTCAAGATGAACATTATATCATTATACCTTACAACACTATGTGTTGGGGGTATTATAAGTTTGATTGGGCCAAAAATTATGTAACACCACGAAATATTGGTTTCCCATATAGGAAAGTATATATGGATCTTCCTATCTCGCCGAGCTGAGTCGATCTGGCTATGTATGTCCGTCCGTCCGTCTGTCCATCTGTCCGTCTGTCCATGTTAATTTGTAATCACTCTACAGGTCGCAATTATGGCTCGATCTTCACGAAATTGAAAATGGAGATGGGGTTAAGGTTAGAATAGAACCCTATTTCTTTTGGAGATGGTCACATAATATTAAGGGTTAAAATGGACCAAAAACTGAAAAAATTCCAGATTTTACAGTTGCTCTACAGATCACAATTATAGACCAATCGAAGCGAAAGTTAGCATGGGGCTACAGCCTAGGGCTCATCATCGAATCACAAATAAAAGAACAGGCCAATTCTGACCATTACGTAGATGCCGATTGTAAATATATCGGATATATAGCGAAAAATATACAACGTATATATGCAAAGGAAGGGGATGTTAGCTAGAATGCATATATCTCATGAATGGCTGGACCGATTTTTAGAAATTTTGTCAATTTAGAAAGCATTCTGTATAAAAGTATAAAATCTAAAAAAATCGCATAAAAAGGTGCGAATAATGATGTTAATATAAATTTTGTAGTATTTTGTGACATTTTTTTATTTTTTCATATTTTTTATCGCATGCGATTTTTTTGATTTGACTTATAATATTGAAATATACATTTTGTAATATTTGTTCACCTTACAACACAG